ATCGTTGCGCGAATGGCTACAAATGTTCTTATCCAGACTTGCATGGTATAGCATACTCCTAAGTTATATCAGATGATGTCACTATTGAATAAATGGTTATAGTGGTGGACAATAGAAGTATAAATTTACCAAGAACCATAAAATTACTCTGTGAGCCAGCCATTTCACTCTTAGATATATGCCTCCAAATATGAAATCAATATATTAAATAATTATACAGGTGGGATCGCTCATGCCTATAATTTCAAAATTCAAGAGTCTGCATGCAACAGGAAAATTGTTAGGGTAGACTAACCCGAGTTTCATCATACATTCCAAGTCTACCAGGCTACAGATAAGTTAACTATCATGATAACCAAAAACAACAACAAAAAGAAATGCAAGCATCCCGTGTACATTGTCACGTTATTTTTAATGCCCAACATATGGGATGATGGGTCCTGCAGAAAAAAAAACGAATAGATTTTTTAAAATGATATGTACACGAAGAGGGATTCAGCCAGAGAAAAAGAAAAAGAAAAACCCTCATTTGCTGCATCGTGGATGGAACTGGAGGGCATTGTATGAAATGAAAGCCCGAGCACAAAAGGAAAAATGCTTGTCCTCACTCCTTAATAGAGGTGTAAAATTTGATGTAATGGGCATAGAGAGTAGGATAATGACTACTGGCATCACAGTGGAAATTGGGAGGGAGATGGAAGGAATTGAGATGGCATTTACCAAAATACGGTTACATAAGAATAATAAGCTTTATTATTCTACAATGCTTTACAATGACAGTAATTTTCAATAATTTGCCATATTTTTATAGAAAACTGGGATGAATTTATTGTGTGGCTCTAAACATAAAGAAATAATCACTAGCTAAGAAGATAGAAATGCTGATTACTCTTATTTGGTAACTACAGATTGTATAGTTGAACCTAATTATCACACCCCATAAACATCTGTAATTTTATCACAATTACATTAGAATGTCCATCAGCATCAATTTGACAAGAATGGAGTACTCAGACTTGCCAATCTGAACAAAGAATTATACAAACATCAGTTCTCATTCACTATAACAATATCATCAAAATGGTCAAACTTGCAACATTTTTCAATGTTGTGTGTATCTGGGATCCCGTTATATTCTGACAGAGTATAAAATTTCCTGACCTAACCGTGGTGACTGCTTCAGACTCTTCTAAACAAATACCAGACCTTTGACCTCACCATTCACCCCTAGTAATTTAACTAAAATAAATGAAAGCATATGTTACCAAGGACAAGGAAAGAAATTTGCTAATAGCACTGGGTTTTAACTATCTCAGATACTAATAGGTAATATTTAAGTTGTGGAGTTGCAAATACAATTTTATCAATTTTAGCAAATTTGCAATAGTAACAAAATGTCTGCATCTTATAAAAGTGCAACACACAACAGAATCTAGTTTAAAATCGGTATTATACATATACACAGAAAACTGCCTAAGCAAATTGAACACAAGGCAGCTGAGGAAATGTTTGCTTTTGAAAATAGAAAAAAAACTGGCTTTAGTGGCAAATGAGAATTCTTTTCAATGCTTAAAAATACCCTTTGGATGTTAGATACTACATGAAAGAACTAATTAAAGCTATTTTAAATCTGTGTGAAAATTTTTAAATATTGTATCTTACTTATGTAAAAATTTTAATGGCTTAGGTTTTACTGATTTTGTGATTAAGACTGCTGGCTTTGGCTACAGACATACTAAAATATTAAAAATAAGTATCCTGCTGCCTATTGTCAAATCTCATCCAAATAACTTAACATTCTGATCTTATACTATTTATTTACAAAATAAAACCAAATGCTTAAGGATTTGCTTTAAACAACGAATAGTGTATATAAAGATATGAGGGTGATTTTTATCATGTAACAATAATTCAATAAATAATACTTCACTATCTTAATGAAGCACTGACAATTTTTCTTTCAACTAGTTTTATGTCTGATATCTCCAGTGTTTTGTTTATTTTTTTACACCGTCTTTTTTACACCTAACCCTAACCCTGAATCTTTCCTGGTTTTGTTTTTTTTTTTTTTTTTTTGAGGGGGGGGTCGTTGTTTGTTTGTTTGCTGGTCGGTCGGTTGGTTTTTTTCTCACCGGAGCACATTTAGCATGAAAGCCATGCACTACTCATGTTTCAGGCAGACGTGAATGCTTGCTTATTTGTGTTAATTATGGCCAATATACTTTTTTTCACAGTGATTCTTTGTGGCACTAAAATCATCATATTAATATCTGTGTAGATGAATAATAAGATCTTGCTTCAGAGTTTTTGTTTTATACATAGCACATTCTAGGCATCTAGTGAATGTTTGACAAAAGATATTTCATAAAGAAGTAATTTCGGGGTTTGAGGAAATCACAACTTACTACCCTCACTGTGTAATATATACACAAAGTCTAACACCTAAATTGGATGCACAGAGAAAAAGCTTTGGTGTTGAGATCTCTCGGCTTCACTACACAGCCCCTTACTGGCCGCTCGGTGTTAGCTAGTGTGCCAAAGCAAAGCCCTGGTCAGCTCTCTAATCAAACACCGTTCCTGTGAGGCACGGGTGAGTTTTCTTTATTCCATTTTTTTCAACTGTTTTCTCACATCATTTATACAGTGATTTAAGTTACAGAAAGGACAGACAGATGCCAAAATTCCATGGATATTTCGTATTCATTTCCATTACGTTTTCTATGGATTTTCTTGAATTTTCAAGCCCTTCTGTAGAGGAGGACGGCATGCCTCGGAGTTATTGAGGAGAAAGGCTGTGCTCGTACAAAAGGCTAATGGGGGACTCTGAATGCTGGAAGATTTCACAAAGAGAAAGGACACTAGGAATTGAGGTACAGATGTCCCTCTAGTCTGGAGACACTTGAATTTTTATGTTTTGAACATCGTCAGTTTCAGAAGGGACCCACAAGCTCCTTGGTATCTGTTAGGATTTGAGACAGAGTACTCTAATTGATCAGAATATACCGATCTGTATTTTGAGGAAGTGCCCACGTTTACCTGCCCTTCTACAATCTCAGATATTCAATTCTTAATTTTTTTCTGTTGTTGACATATTTTACCAAAGAGCGACCAGTGTACAGGTTGTGAGTTATTTATCATTTGCTTCTAATTATACCTACATGTTTTTCTTTGTCTCCCTGAACCATTTCTGTTAATTTCTTTCTGGTCTGTATGTTGTCTGTTGACATAATCAGATGCTCTTTTCATAAAGCAGTTGGTGGGAGTTAAAGTCCTACGGCAAAGCTATTCATTGATGTCTAAGTCACAGAGAATAACCAGGCCCTACTAAAAATCATTTGCCATGTGGGATGATCTACACTTTGGCAGACTGACAACCAAATCTGTCACAATTCTATAAAACAAATGGTTTTGTGGGAGAACTTAATCTGATGTGTTTATTTATGTGAGTTAACATATGAGGGAAATGAACCAATTCTCATCAAACCACCCACAGCTAGAAACGGCCATGTGGCAGAGCAGATAATAGAGAGGAAAGGGTTCATGTGTTTGTAGTTGGCTCCTCTCAAAGGATTCTGACCCTTTCTGTCACAATTCCAGTATGGATGGGGCTATGAACCCACGGTAAGGACTGAAATCCGGGACAGCCTTGCCGCGTTCATTCTACACAAAGCTATTTCTGCCTTCAACTCAAGTACACAACGATAGATCATGAATTGCTGTTGTAACACGCTTTCAGGGGCCAGACATTCTCTGAAATTCCAGTTCCAATTTCTTTTCTAATTATTTAAGAAATAGTAGTGCTGGTGCACATTTCTTCTTTACGGCCCACGAAAACATTTTGTCTTAGGTGTGGGGTGCAGCCTTCATCATCCTCTCCTGCCCCCTTGTGGCTTCCTGCCCTCACATTGGACTCTACCCCTAGGCAAACAGCCCCTTCTAGAAGAATCCATAATGTTAATCACCTTGTGAAAATCCAGAAAATTCCCCAACTAAACTGAGATTGCCACTTCATTTTGAGAAGAAAGATGTATTCAATACACAGTCATTTTGACGGCACCTCCTTTACCTGTTAACATTCATATGTTCTGCTGTTGAGCTGATTTTTTAGAAAATTTCTCATATTCTCTATTTTTTATATATATTTGGAAGTATCTGCTAGCGTATTTGCTATTTTATGGCTCGTTGCTTCATTTTTTGATGCTTAGAAGGTTTTTCACACTCTATTGTCTCGTCTCACCCACTGCACAGGTGGATTCTCCCATATTAAAAATGCCGCCTCCGTGAATTCCTTTTACCTAACTTCCAAGATTCTTTTTCTTAGCTCTAATTGACTCGTGTATGTTCTATCTCTGCGATGCAGTCACTGTTATTCATCTGGATGAGTTTAGTGCTTCTCCCCCCCCCCTGTTTGTGTGTGTGTGTGTGTGTGTGTCTTTCTGTCTGTCTCTCTTATCTGTCTCTCAACACAGTTTTGCGACTATGTTCACTACTGTTGCTCTGTTTTGATCAAAAATGGACAAATCTGACGCTCAAATCCTCTGAAAGAATACAGTTATATGAGAGCACCTAAGGTGGCCCAGGTTGACTGCCCGGTGTCTGGCAAGTATTTGTCAATGTCACACCCTGTGCTTCCCTCCATCCATGCCCCTGAGAGAATAAACTTCTCCTGGAAATTTACACTTTTCTGAGACACATAGGTGAACACACTCTCCATTTTTCTAAACCTTCATTAAATTGTAATAGCTGTCTGGTATAGCTCTCCAGTCCCTCTTACGTCAATACGCTTCCTTTCTGAGCTCAGACCACACCACCACCCCCACCTTTGGACATGTTCCATGTTACTAGTGGTCTGTCTCCATTTCATAATGCAACATAGAGATTTTTCTGAAATATAAATCTGTCCCTATCATTTGCCTATATAAACTCATGCTTAAAGACGCGGAACTCGCTGAATTGGGAAACTATAGAGCAGAAGACTGAATCGTGTGTCAGTCAAGAGTATGGTAGACGCCCCTCTGCACAATCCACTTGTGGTGGTCGGGGGCGGGGAAGGGGCGGGACCTAGCCCCCTCCCTCCTCCTTCTTACTGCGGAGAGCTGCAGAGCCAACCCGCACTCGCTGCGAGCTCTGAGCTGCGAACTGCAGCTGCGCTGCACGCAGTAAGCCAGCCACTTGGCTGAGAGCTGCAGAAGAAGCCAGACGACAGTGCTCTCTGAGAACTGCGGTGCCAGCCAGACAGCGCTCCCCGAGAGCTGCGGAGAGATCCCGGCAGCGCTGGCTAAGCGCTGCCGAGAGAACCCGCACCAGTCTCCGATAGCGTCGAAGCGAGCCATTCCGCGCTCGCTTCCTTTTCAGCTTTCAAGCTGGACGGGGATCCTGGACAGCCACGTAGGCATGCTCAACACTGGAAGAAAAAGCGCAGCAGCCGGAGACGGGCCGCCAGCAGCCAGGCAAGGGACACGTCGCAGCTAAGTACGAATGTGGGTGACTCCAGCCCTCCGGAGTCCCCTATGCCTCCGGTCCATAGCCGCCCTACGGTTCTGATGCGGGCTCCCCCCGCTTCCTCCCGGGCTCCTCCGGTCCCTTGGGATCCACCTCCAGTGGACTTGCAGGCTCCCCTGGCTACTTGGCAGGCTCCTCAGCCTACCTGGGAGGCTCCAGAGGGCCAGCTGCCTGCCCCAGTGGCTCAGCTGCCCCAACCCCCTGCCCTAGGGGCCCCAATGGTCCAGGCTCCGCCGCTGGGGGGGGCGATGGCCAAGCCTCCAACTCCTGGAGTCTTGGTGGTCCATCCGCCTCCTCCGGGAGCCCCAGTGGCCCAGCCATCAACTCCGGGAGTCCTGATGCTGCACCCGGGGGCCCCTTTGGCTCATCCTCCTCCCCCAGGAACCCCAATGGCACACCCTCCTCCTCCACCACCTCCTCCTCCTCCTCCTCCACCTCCTCCTCCTCCCCCGCCCCCTCCTCCTCCTCCTGGGACCCCGATGGCGCACCCTCTTCCTGGGACCCAAATGGCCCATCCTCCTCCTCCTGGGACCCCTATGGCCCATCCTCTTCCACCTGGGAACCCGATGGTGCATCCTATCCCTCCTGGAACAACGATGGTTCATCCACCCCAACCTGGAACTTCGCTGCCGCAAGCTCCAATTCCGGGGACGCCGATGGCCCAGCCACCAACTCCGGGAGTCCTGATGGCCCAGCAGCTGTCACCGGGAGTCCTGATGGTCCAGCCTCCTGCTCCAGGAGCTCCGATGGTCCAGCCTCCTCCACCGCCTGCCTTGATGTCCCAGCCGCCAGCTTCGATGACTCCGATGACTCCGATGGCCAAGCCTCCAGGTCCTGGTGTCATGATGATCCATCCTCCAGGTGCCAGAGCTCCAGTCATTCAGCCTCCAGTGTCAGGAGCACCGATGGCGCAGCCAGTGTTGCCCCCAGGGCAGCCTCTGGCTTCGTGGGCCCCGCAGGGTCAGCCTTTGATCCTGCAAATCCAGTCTCAAGTCATAAGAACTCCTCAACAGGTTCCCCCTGTCCCATCAACACCACAGGTGCAGCTGGGCACATCCCCAAGCTGGCAAGCCACCACACCCAACTGGCAGGTGACACCCCAGGGGTGGCAGGGCACGCCCTTGACCTGGCAAGCCTCACAGGTCACATGGCAGGCCCCCACAATAGCCTGGCAGGCCTCTCCCCCTGTCCGCCAAGGGCTCCCACCTATTCGTCCTGCTCCCCCACCCATTCGACCTGGACCACCTCCAATACTCCGCCAGATGCCACCTGTGATCCGTCATGCCGCACCATTGATTCGGCAAACCCCACCACTGATTCGCCAGGTCCCTATCAGAACAGCTTCACATGGCATAGCAGGCCAGCATCACCTCTGGCAAGTCCTGCCACCCCCACCTCCATTGCGCCAGGCTCCACAGACTCGTCTGCTGATCCCCAGGATGCCAGGGGCACCCCACGTGCCCACAGCACCACAAGTTACTCAGATACATCTGGTGCCACAGGCGGGCCCACAGGTGCCCCAGACAGTGCTACCAGCACCACTGTCTATCCCAATTCCTATGCCACACGCTGCCCATCACTCTGTTACCCGAGGTGTGCATTGCCCATCCATCATCTGGCAGGCCCCCAGAGGCCAGCCCCCGGTGCCACAGGAGCTCCAGGTGCCACGGGAGCTCCAGGTGCCACGGGAGCTCCCGGTTCCACAGGAGCTTCCGGTTCCACAGGAGCTCCAGGTGCCACAGGAGCTCCAGGTGCCACAGGAGCTCCAGGTGCCACAGGAGCTTCCGGTTCCACAGGAGCTCCAGGTGCCTCAGGAGCTCCAGGTGCCACAGGAGGTCCAGGTGCCACAGGAGGTCCAGGTGCCACAGGAGGTCCCGGTGCCACAGCAGCTCCAGGTGCCACAGGAGGTCCAGGTGCCACAGCAGCTCCAGGTGCCACAGGAGGTCCCGGTGCCACAGCAGCTCCAGGTGCCACAGGAGGTCCCGGTGCCACAGCAGCTCCAGGTGCCACAGGAGCTCCCAGTGCCACAGGAGCTCCCAGGGCCATTGGAGTTCCAGGAGGTACAGCAGCCCCAGGCAATGGGCTGGCAGGCACCCAAGGTACCCACTCACTTCTGGCAGTCTGGGCCTGCCCAGGAGGCCCAGGAGCAGGGCCATGTAGAGCAGCAGCAGCAACCCTTTCGGGGAGCTCCAGCCTCATCCAGTGCCAGGCAAGCCCACCTGCCAACCCACCAGGCCCAGCCCACAGGCCTGCAGGCAGAACTGCCCTCAATACAAGTGCAGCCTTCTTGGCAAGGTCCACCCCCGACCTTGCAGGCCCAGCCAGGAGCACCCAGAGCACCAACAAATTTTCCCAGGGGCCCCACTAGATCACACATGACTCCATCAGGAGAACCTGGCCCCTCATCTGCAGAGCCTCGGGGCCCTCCTAGGGATCGTAGGACCTCTGGAAGAGGCAGAAAGGGCCCCCCTAAAGAGCGCATGATCATTGGTGCCACCGTCTGTGCTCCAAGGGCAGCATCAGCTTCCAGGGCATACCTGCCAACTGCCTGGAGAAACGTGCCTGCCACATCAGAGACCTTAAATGCCACCTCGAGGGTCTTTCCATCTACCTCTCATTTTCAGCCTGCCTCTTCTGATGCCTTTAGAGGTCCACCTGCCACCTCTGAGAGCCCAAAGTCACTGCCATTGCCTCTGCAGGATCCTTATACCTGTGTAGAGGCCGTTCCTGCAGTTCCCTGGGTTCCATATGCTGATGTGAATGCCTCATCAGCATGCAATGCAGTGCCCACCATCCTGATGGTGACAGCAGCTGCCCCCCAGGCAAGTGCCACCGGCGCAGAGGCCTCCAAGTCTGCAGAGCCACCACGGAGATCCGGCAAAGCCACCAGGAAGAAGAAGCATCTGGAACCCAAAGAGGAGGACTGTGGCCAGAGGATGGCCTCGCGTGACTGTGACTGGCGGGGGCCCAGACCCTGTGAGAATCCCAGGCAGAGTGACTGGGAGGTCCAAAGGGCTATGCAGCTTCTGGGGGAACAGGAACCCCTCTTCACTCCACAGGGTCTTAATAGCTGGGGGTGCCCCAATAACTCTAGGATGACAAGGGGCTTCGATGGCCCCAGTACTTCACAGGATCAGAGGTTCTGTGGAGGCTCAGGGGGGTCTCAGGCATGGATGGTCTCTGAGGTCCCAAGTGTCTCACGGGGACCCAGTGCTACTCAGGAGGACCCCAATGGGGAGAGTCCCTTAGATGAGAGAGCAAATGCTTTGGTGCAGTTTCTCTTGGTCAAGGACCAAGCCAAGGTGCCAGTCCAGCTTTCAGAGATGGTAAATGTTGTCATCCGAGAATACAAAGATGAGAGCTTAGACATCATCAGCCGTGCCAATGCTAAACTAGAGAGCAACTTTGGGTGCCAGCTGAAGGAAATTGACCCCAGGACCCACACTTACATCATCGTCAAGACGGGCCCCCCCCAGTGCAATATGATGGCACCCTATTTAGACAGGCCAAAGTTCAACCTCCTGATGGTGGTCCTTAGCCTCATCTTTATGAAAGGCTACTGTATCAGGGAGACTCTGCTCTTTAACTTTCTGTACCAATTAGGACTGGATGTCCATGAGACGAGTGGTCTTTTCAGAAGTACGAAGAAGCTCATCACCAGTGTGTTTGTGAGACACAGGTACCTAGAGTACAGGCAAATCCCATTCACTGAGCCAGCAGAATACGAGCTTCTCTGGGGGCCCCGCGCGTTTCTCGAGACCAACCGAATGCACATCTTGAGGTTTCTGTCCGCACTCTATGAGAACCAGGCCCAGACCTGGACATACCAGTACCTTGAGTCGTTGTCAGAGTTAGAATACAGGGACACAAACGACGAGCCTGATGACAGCGATGATGATTCCCATGACCCCACCAGCACTCCCCATCCTCATTAATAGGTTTTTATTTCCCAAGACAATCTTATCCCTGTGGGTACCAGGCCAAAGGCAACGGACAATGGGGGGGAGGGGGGACATTGTGCTTACTGGTGTTTTTGTGATTGTTCTGTGTGTGTAACTTTGAATTTTCAGCCTCCTTTTATATTTGCCAAAGCTTTTGTACACTTGTAAGGTGTTGTAAGGTAAACTGACTGCTGTGCCATTTTGTATTCTGACATCTGTATTTTTAAATGAGACCTGTGGTTCCCTTTTCTGTGCTCTAATTGTTATGTCATGGTATCAGATTCGTGCTACCTTTGTGAAATGAACTGACAGTCTATCCGTCTTGTTCTGTTTATGTAAAACAATAGAATGTTCTTTGGTTGTTAATATGACTCATCAGCTAAACACTGTCTGGAGAAAAGTAAAGATCTATATCTATATAAATATACTTTTAGCATAAAATTAAGTTTTTGTCTTTATTCTAATTTTGAAACTGGATGGTGGGAGCCAAACTTTGCCACACTCGGCGCACACACACCAACACCAAGATTACTATGGGTAATAGTAAAATCCATGGGTGCTGACAGCCTCTCCGAAGAGTACTACTTCATTCATCTTAAAGTGATGCAGCAACTGTGGTGGGTGGTGAAACCAGAGATTTCCTTAAGGTGAGAAAGCAAAGCTTCATAAGTAAGACAGGCCAAATCAAGAGGGGTTTGAATGCCCCCTTTGATTTAATTTTCACAATAACCTTTCAAAGTAGATATTATGTCTAATTTGTAGGTGACGCTATAAGACACAAATAGGTTAATTAAATTGCATACATGAGGTGGCACGCTGGTAAAATTATAATTCCAAGCAGAAAAATCTCAAGGGCTTTTGGGTAAAAGGGGGATAATCTACCTCAGGATCATGAAAATCTAGGATTTTCTAGCCCCAAAAAAAAAAAAAAAAAAAAAAAAAAAAAAAAAAAACTCCAAAGAAATCCTCGTCAGTCATGTGGCCCATAGAAAATGTCTAGAAGCTCAAATGTGAACAGCATCAATGCACTACACTGGCACCAGAATGGAAATGAGTTCCCCTAACATATTAGGATCGCACAGCGGAAGAAGAGACGTATTTTGTAGATTTGAGGTGGCCATCACAAGGGGAGGGAGGCCAGGCAACTGCAGGATGCCTCCTCGGAGGTAGCATTCTATGAAAAACCCCTGTGAGGAAAGGAATAATCCTGGGCACAGTGAGGAAATGATGCCAAGGCCTGAAGTGACTAAGCATTTGCAAGCCTTTAGTTACAGGACCCCCAAAGAGGAACCTAGCAAAGGGCTTACCAGCCCGGGTTTTCAAGGACAGGGGGTGTAAAGTCATGAACATGAGCATGTGGTACACATGAACAGACTGCCCAAAGGTCACAGCTTTTCCACAGAGAACTGTTTGCGACCTCTTGTTCTGCCTCAATCAAGAAATCCAACCCCCTGTCTTCCCTTTCTTCCAGAAAAGCAGGAAAACGGCTATGTGAGGGGAAATGATAGAACTTGTCTGCCACCTCCTGGAGGATCAGCAGTTGTACAGCTGCTTCTGAGGCCATTTCTCCTATAAGGCTTAATTAACTTCACAACGGCACTAATTGCTTCATAACCTTTCCCATAATTTCACTTCTGTCAGCGCCCAACAATTTCTCTCTTTTTTTCTTTTATATAATACACCATAATCAAACAGCACTCCATGTCCAACCCAAGCTTCATTCAAGGGCCACTACCCTCTACCCTGTTGCACTGCAGCTTAGAACATAGTAGCAAAGTCTATCCAGACACTGCAGAGCAACCTCTGTCAGGCAACTGGCCCCTACTCCACGCTTGACCTTCCTGAATGCACTTAATTTCACCAAGGAGCCACTATGACAACGTTTTACTAACATTTGGAGGGTAAGAGGACCCTGGCCATCTATTAACTCTATCTTTAGTGCATGGCAATATTAAAATTTTCCAGGGCCTTAGATGAGATGTGCCTTGGTGATAAACTGACGTATGGAGCTAGTTAAACTTGAGGTTTTATTGTCATTCCTATGTCATTTCTAGAAAAAAAAATGTTTGTGTATGGATACTAAATAATGTATCCCACACCTTAGCATGTGGAAGCTAGCTAGCATCACCTGACTTTGAAGCTGTACCCTGGACACAGCTGGCTCTTATACAGGCTACAGTAGAAAATTTCTTCATCACATAGCTGATATAAATGTTAATGAGTGGGAACCTGTGTTAGATTGTATCGCGTATATAAGAAGCAACAAAAGACTCTTTTCATTATGCATATAAAACTAAATTATTCAAATATTCCACAGAAGAGTTTAACACCAAACTTCATGTTAAAAGCAGGAAGCAGAAACCAAATAGCCAGGATATATGAAAACAAAGAGCAGAAAGTGGGAACAAATTCTAAGACTAATGGAGATACACACTGTACAAAGCCTTTAGCCATCCAATGGAAGACAATAAAACACCTCCGAATAAGTAAGTGGGAAACATTGGACACAAAACATATGAACAGCAATAATTACTGAGCTCTTTTATCTCCTTCTAATTCAAAGAAAGGACTATTAGATCAGTATTGATTTCTATTGATTAAACTAATGTAGAATGAAATAAAGCCACATAGAACAGCAGATGTGAATAAGGTTATGATGAAAACAACTTACCCTGAAATCAATTTGACTGACTGCATCTTTAAGGGATTTGAACATGCAAAAAGTTTATTTTGGAAAATCATCCAGTAAGGATAGTCTAAATAGAAACAATTTTTAGTGGAGGTGAAAACCTCCTCACAAGGAAAGTTGATGGTGAATGGGGAGGGTACCTAGTATTTTTGACCCTCACACAAGGCAAGATTGCTTATGACATTCTTGCTAAAAGACCTCAGATGTTCACACACACACACACACAGGAAAAAAAGATTCCAGTTTGTCTGAAGACATCCAATTTATGAAACTATAAATTCATGATAACAGATTGAAGAGTTAATGCTTACATTTCTCAAAACTGGATACTAGAGTAAAATAACTGTCCAATGACTGCAGGAGAAGCTTGTTTGTATTACACTATGAATTTCAATGAAGGGAAATCACGAAAATAATTGATTTTTTTATTTTGTATTAGTTAAATAAAATATAGTTCAAATGAAGCTGTCTTAAGTTGACAAGGGAAGGAAAATTATGTACAGTGTATGAAGTTATAAGAAGGTAATGTCAGAATACTTACCTAAACAATGATGTCTTTTGTAATAATGTTATTCTAAATCACTATTCCTTGGAGTAAGATGAAAAAAGGACCATTTATTTGTCAAGGTCGTATATCAATCACCCTTTTTAGCAAACGTGGGTTAAAAATCAACACTGCGATCAAAGAAACTCTTGCTTTCTATTTGCAAAGGTGTGGAGTCCTCATGTCCTCAGTAAAAACAACTCCTTTGCACATGTCGCCCATGTCATTAATTTGACTTCTGAGTCTTCTTACTGACTGTTTGTTGTAATGCACAAAGGGATGTAGAATCATCCCTGGATAAAGTCCTATACACTTCTGTCCATACTAAAATCCTGGAAAAACTTTTTTCTCCCAGATGGGCTTTCAGGTAACAACAGTGTTGCCATTGTATATTGACAGACCTTCTTAACCCCCACAGACAGAGCTGTGGCAGCCCTTTCTCTGTGTTCTCAACTTTCAGTATTGCCTAACATCAGAATTCAACATAACAGCCCATTGTCTCTAACCCACCATAAAATGGCATAAAATTTCATCCATCTTGAAGCATGAGGTGGCTCTCAATGTTCCTGAGTACGAATGGCCCCCTCAACTAACTTTGTTTATCCAGGTGGCCAAGGAACATCCTTACAGATAGCATTGCTCAAACAACTTACAAATGAGACCAGCTCGCCCTCTGCTGGACAACTCGAAGAGTTACTCAGATTCTGAATTTAGAGACTACTTTTATTTCAAAATTTTTATTTGGTATGTTTTGATCCATCTTCTCCCAGATCCTCCATATCTCCCTACACACTCAAATCATGTTCTCTCTTTACTCCACCCCCCCCTCTCTTTCTTGCCTTTCTCGCAAAACAAAAATCAAAATAAATGAAAAACAGGCAGTAATATTTTAGGTCAATAAGGACCCTAGAGGAAGAGAATTCCCTCTCCAATTTAGACCACATTGTTTTTATTCACCATTATCTCCATCCAAGAAATGTAAAAGGATGAAAATATCAAATTATTATTATTACTAGTAGTAGTAGTAGTAGTAGTAGTAGTAGTAGTAGTAGTAGTACAAGGTCTGACTGGCTTCTCCAGAAAGAACTTTTTAGAAAGAAGGCCACTATGGATCCACCTTTGTGACATTTTTCTACCGAATGCAAGTGATTTCTTCTTTCTTTTTCTTGTATCTCATTCATTATGCAGTGCTTCCTTTAATCTTTTGAGATTTTGAAAATAGTACTTCCCCTCCTGTTTGAAGCATCTTTAATTACCAGCATTACCAGCCATGCTAACCTTGTATTTATTGGTGTTCAGGGAAGTATCCTGGCTGTGTCAAAGAAATATTGTTTTCTTTATAAGTAGCCTACCTCTCTATAAGGTGCCAACTTACTTATAAGTGATATGCACTATCTAGGTTATTATTTATTAAAAATCACTCTTAGAAGAGATATTATATTAGTAGTATACCCTACCTATATATAACCAACACTTCAGCATTTCCTCTAACAAGAAGACTTACTGGAGTGTGCTATATACTCAGAATCTTTTACTAAATACAAATAAATTCATAACTACAGAATATGTATTGGTCTTTATAGCTTATATGACATAATCCTTTAAACATTGTTTTCTTATAGTTGAAAATGGTGCATTTTCATTCAGTACAATGTCTTTGACACTGGTTTAAATTTTCCCATGTATAAATAGGTAATTCACTGTTAACAGTGGCAACACACTTGTTTATAAAGGACATTTCCATTGTTTTCTGTTTTGAGTAATGTGTTGCAGAATCACTACGAACATTCATTCATACATGGGTACTTCTATGAACATAAATATTCACATATTTGTTGAAAATTTATGTAATTCCTATATCATGTGATAAGCATATACTTGTCATCATCATTATATTCATAATCATCATTATTACTGTTGCCTTTTAAAAACAGAC